AAAACGAGTTATGATGCTAATTAGGTCATCTTGAATTGACGGTCCTTTTAATAGGATGTCATTAAGGCTCTTCCCGGTATCCGTTATACACGACGCGTCAAATACAACCCGCAGCTTTGTTGTTAAACTGTTATCGCGTAACACTGCGTGATGCGGTATATAATAAACAGGTTTATTGTTTTCGTCGTTATCCCGAACTTGTTCCATATGACCTAATTTTACGTATTCATTTATGAACTGTACGTAGGCTTCCTTTAATTTCGGGTTAATACGTAATCTGTTTTCAGTAGACATAAATCGTTTTAATGCGACTGCTTTCGAATTACCTAATTCATTTGGATTTTCTTTGAAGGGCAGCTGCACAATGAACCTTCCGTCTGCGCCTTTGGTTACACTTTTTTCGAAATGTTCTATACATTGTTTTTCTTCGAGGCTGAAACATTCCACTTTCCCTAACTCTTCTAGATGCCAAAATTTGGAAATTTGTTTTTCTATTTGTCGACAACAATCGCTTGGTAGTGTCTGCGCGACAAATGTATGCCCTGAATTACTCGAGTGCTGTTGTACTGATCCTGCGACCACCCATCCAAAAGCAGTTTCCTGGTAAACGAGTCCGTTGGCCGTCGGTTTATACTGACCAGAACGAAGTGTATCAAAAAATACTTCGGCTCCTAAAAGCAAATCAATTTCTCCCGGCGTCGCGTACGTCGGATCGGCAAACTCTATATACTCCGGTACGTTGTACGAGTTGCTAACGTGTATCGGACTGGTCGGTAATTTGGATGTTATTTTTGGCAATGTCATAAAGTTGATTGACCTCGTATACTCGTTTGTACGCGCCCGCACTTCTGCCGTGACTACGTGCGATACCCGGCATTCGGCGGCGTTCACACCAGAAATGGCGCAATCAAATTTGTGTTTCGCGAGTCGTAATTTGCATACTAAATTATTAGTGATGAAATTGCCCTGAGAAGCAGAATCGAGTAATGCTCGTGCAAAAAATGGTTCGTTTGTACTGCTAAAAATTTTTATTATTGCCGTGGATAATAAAACCTTTGCACCCGGTGCGCTAGCAGCTGCGTGCGCACTTATTGACGTAGGTGGTACGGTTTCCGCGTTTTGTTCGGAAACGTTTTCGTGTAGCAGCGTGTTGTGGTGTTCTCCACATTTTCGACACCCTTTCGCCTTGCACTTATTATCTTTATGTTTTGATAAACAATTAATACACAATTTTAATTTTGTAACATTTTCTCGACGCTGTTTCACTGCGAGATCTAAAAATTGTTTGCATTTATAAATAGCGTGCGGCTCTTCGCAAATGTAACATTTGAATTTTACTGTTGCGGCGTGTGTAAACAATGTTTTATTTTTATTCTTTATCTTGTTATCTCTTATCGGCATTTGCGACGGTCCGTTTGTGGTTTTATTTAAACTTTGCGCGTTTTCAATCGATTCTAAGACTTGAAATCGGCTCTTTAAAAACGCAATTAATTCTTCGACCTTTGGGACTTCTGTTTTAGGAGCTTGTGTTTCCCATTCACGTAAGGTAGTATTGTCGAGCTTTGTTGAGATAACGTGTAACAACATCGGGCCCCATGACATAGGTGTGTATCCGATCGCTTCTAGTGCCTTTATGTGACCGAACAGCTTGTCGACAAACTGCCGCAACTTTTCTGACGATTCTTCTGTTATTTTTTCTAAGTCGAATATTGCCTTTATGTGTGCCTGCACCATAATCCGTTTATTATTGAATCGCTCATTTAAACACTCCCATGCAATTTGATAGTTGTTTGCGGAAGTTTCAAAACATTTTACGACTTCAGCTGCGTCTCCAGACAGTGCGGCTTTTAAGTAAAACAACTTTTGAACTTCCTGAACGTTCTCATTTGAGTGTACCATTATTGTGAATATATCTTTAAACGCTGACCAATCTTTATAGTTACCACTAAACTCGGGTATTTTTAACGGTGCTAGCTTTACTATTGATGCTAGATGATTGCAGCTGTTTGTGCTTCCCTGTACTTCGCCATTACTGTTATTACTTATATTTGGGTTTGCGTTGTGACCGGTTTTAATTAGTATTTTTTCGCTGTCTGCGATGGCTTGAAAGTACATATCTTCAAATTCAAACCGATAGTTTTCTTCGGCTGTAGCTTGTGCCTCGTCTTCGACCTTGATTTCTATGGCGGACTGTATTTTTTGAAATTCATCCCAACATTCTTCGATTTTTTGTTTTCGTACTCGGATTTGCGATACGTCTCCGTCATCCGTGAAATCTTGTAAGAATTTTAGGAATTTTGTGATACGGCCTTTTATTGCACCCCTCCGTATAGTTAGAGTAGGTACGTCTTCCATATTGTATTCGTAGGTAATTGGTTTGTACCTGAATCGTTATCTTGGCCGTGCTTATCGTACGATTTGCGCTGTTGCACTTGATCGTGCTAATCTATAATTTTTATTGCAACGTTGTATGGCTAATGGCTATGTCATACGTGCGATTGGGAATTCTAGCTTTCTATTATTGGTATGGCTTGCGGGAAAAAGGAAAGGAAAAAATAATGTGACTCTCTTACCTTAAATTCTGCAAGTGCTGCATATCCTCCAATGCTAGTTGACTGATGTGTTTCTAGTGATGAGTGTCCAATGTCGTCCTTGTTCTGCTGTGAGTGTGTTGTCCTGACTTCACTGAACTGATGGAACTGAACTCGAACTGTAAAATGCACTCGAGACACTTTTTGAGTTAACTGTGTGCACCGTTCGGCGTACTGCTGTTTAGTATTTACATAAAATCCGGCTCGAAGGACCAAAATGTCGGGGCCAAAGAGGATATTAAGTAATTAAAGTCCGTACTTTGGTTTAATAATATTTATTGTTTTTAATCGAATAAACGCGGAATACATGTATAATAATTTTAATGCAATACTACGTAATGTGCCGAACGGTGTCTTTCGTCCGCTAGCTATGACGCTACTAATTTAGTGTTCACGTACGGTGCGACAGAGTCGCCCGACCGACGTTTTATCTAAATTATCGATCTACCTGCTGTAGCGATAATATTATTGTATTGGCTCGAACAATGACCTAAGCGTCATGGATATTATATTTTATATGTATAATGTTTAATTTGTATTACACCTACCTAACTATTATGTGTTAGCAAGCCCAGATTAAGGATCAATTGGGCCCCGAGACACCATACACTTAGTGGGCCCCCTTTCAACTTTAACTTCAAAATAATTTTATTATTACATATTAACGACTTTATATTATTGTATAATTTTTTACTATGCAGAAAATATACAGAGTGAATCATACGTCATAGTACCAGTGGCGTATTTACGATTTTGGCGCCCCTTTTTTTCTCAGTTTCCTTTTATTCATTATCACAAAAAACTTTTAAGCCACCTTTAATTTAAAATTTACTTTAACCGGTATTAAATTCAATTGAAATACTCGACAAAAATTGCATACCTGTATAATAATTAAAAACCGAAAATATAATTTAAAAAACGGTATTTTTTTTTTGAAAATCTTTGTATCTTGACATTTTTGAAAGTTTACTTTACACGAGCGATCGGACGCTCGATCCAGCGATTCAAAAAAATTAATAAACTAAGAATGAACGTAAACAGTCCAGGTATTAAAACCGATTTTAGAAACCGGTATAAACCGTTTAAAAACTGAAACCGATGACAAAATCAAAAACAAAATCGGAAAAAGGTATTAAATCCAAAACCAAAACCGAAAAAAACCCACCCTTTCCCCCCTTAATCCGGGCTTGTGTGTTAGCTTGTATTTTAGAGTGGACTACTGGAGCAATGAATATTTTGATTTTACAATGATTTGTATATGATCCTCGTATAACTATTTTCTTATTTCGTTGTTATTCAACAACTATTAACCATCGGTATTTAAAATGTCCATCAAATGTTTAAACTTTAAACTATCATAATATACATTATATAATGTTCAAAATATTTCGACTCGTTTTCAGTGATTTATAGACATTTGAATTATGAAATGTTTTTAGTTCTGTATTCTATGAATTTTATTCGTTAGGTCAAAAAGCTTAAAAATAATACAAAGTTAATCGTAAGTTGATATAATAGCAGTTAAAAAATATTAGAAATATACAGGCACATTTTTTTTACGGGCATTTAAAATTCAAATTTCTACAAAATTCATCATAATCTTGACAATTTTCAAAATATTTGGTAGTCAGATATTCATACAAAAATGTCTTATTTGTTTATCTATAATATGAAAATGTAATAAAAGTTTCCTCATGAGCAGTTATAATAGCAATTGAGAAACAATAATGATCCATATAAGATCCATTTTTTTAAGAAATTATACCTAGTTCAATTTTTAACAAAATTTATCAAATTGATAGTTTACAAATTACTATTTAGTAGTAAAATTTATAAAATGTTCAACTTTTATTGCTAAGGATTGAAAATGTAAAACAAGAATTCTCAAAAATAGTTCATAGTGAGTGTTCATACTCTAACAAAAAAAAACTAAATAATCTATTAAAAACACAGTTAATTTTTACAGACATTATAAGTTCAAATTTGGACGAAATTACATATATTAAAACAAAGAATAACGATTTTAGATATTTTGTTGTAATTTAAAAATAGTAGGTGTTCGTGGATTTATAAAACTTTTAAGGCCGTTCTTACAATGTCCGGTTAAATTTAACCTACACATAACCCGTATAATCCTGCAGCTAATAAAATCTGTTATTAGTCGGTTAGCGTTAACCGACACTTTACCGGACATTGTAAGAACGGCCCTCAGAGTATATTATTATAATTTATGTACACCAAGGGCGCACCCAAGGGGGTGGCTAACGGACTCCCCCCCCAAATGGCTAGCCCCAAACATTTTGATAATTTTATTAGGTTTATTGACATATTGACATTTTACTTTAAATTGTTATAAAAAAAAATTGCTAATGAAACGAAATTGCTAATGCTTTAGAACTAACAATTACTATGCCCAGATTAACAAAAAATCAAACCAAACGATGCAATGTACCAGCAGAAAATGAAGAAGAATATTATAGACGTGCCATTTTTATTCCATGGCTAGATTCTTTTATAAATAATATATCCGACCGATTTTTAAAGCATAAATGTATTATTAAAAGTTTTAAGTGTCTTTTACCAACTGGAAATTCTCCTAATCAAACAGAAAAATCACAGTATTTAAAACTTTTAGAATTTTATAAAAATGATATACCAGAAAATGGTGTTAACGCTGCAGTAGCCGAATTTGATTTATGGTATCAAAAATTCCAATGCCCAAATCATTCATTACCACATAATGCAATCGATGCATTAAATTTGTGTAATGATACTCTATTTGAAACTATATTTATACTTTTAAAAATATTCTCAACATTGCCTGTTTCGACCAGTACAACAGAAAGATCATTTTCCATTTTGAAAAGAATAAAAACATACTTGAGAAATACAATGAGTCAGAATCGACTGAATGGTTTAGCTATGCTTCATATTCACAGAGAAATAGATGTTCAAACTTCAGAAGTACTCTCAGTATTGGGGAAAAAAGGACCAAGGCATCTCAACTTTATAATTTAAAAGGTTAGACTTATAAAAAACAATCATTATATTATTCATAATTAAATAAATAATATTTATGTTTTACAGGTATAACATCAAGGCTACGGCGACACTTAAAACCGGGACAAAAATAAAAAAAATTTGTTAGTAAAAGATTGTAAAAAAGCTTAAAGATTTCTGTACATATTTCAAAATAAATACTACCTATTAATATTAAAATTATGTGAATTTAGCCCTCCCCAAAAAAAAATCCTGGGTGCGCCCCTGATATACACGAATACACGATGACACTTTTAAATGTAATTTTTTGGGCAAAAATGACTATAAACTACTGCTGTACTAATGCTTAATAATCTGTAGGCAATGTGGTTATGATCATAAAAAATTATTCCACTCAAATTTAAAATACTTTATGTTTTATTATTTTTTTTATAGCGAAATATGATTTATTTTTTACCATATATTTTAGAAAAAATGAAAGTAAAATTAAGCCCCAAAAGAATATGAAAAATAACTTACTTTAATAGTTTAATTATCGACTCTTTCGGCGGAATCCGTAAAGTGTGAGAACTGTGACGCCGATGACGAAACGCTTCAGAGAATACAGAACTTAAAATATTGTGATTTATGAAAAATAAAATTATACGGGACGCAGTAAGTTTTTTACTCATATCTGCTTTGCTTATTGAAATTTTAGAATTTTTAATCGACTGTGTCGTCTGCAACGACATTGAGATTTGCCATAGAATATAAATGATAGATATTATATTATACTAGGTAAAGTCAATATGATGAATCCACGGATCATATAATGCAACTTTTTACATCAAAGAGTTCCGTGTTAAGAAACAATATTTGTTCGTTGAAATTTTATATGACAAAAATCAAAATAGTTATTAGTTAATGATTTTGAATTTAAATTATAATAATATGATATTGATATGGGTATTATTTAAATTACTATTTTTGTTTATTAATTTAACTATTGATTAAGATGGTGAATAGATATCTGCAGAAGTACAAGTATATTTTTATAAAAGCTTATTGTATTTTATAAATCATTAAACAAAAATGTGATTACTGGTTTTAGGTAAAATAAAGGTATACTCAGTAAATTCATCAAATTTACAGTATCGGCTATAATACCAACTAGATTCTAAAATTTTAAATCTAACATTTTCTACGAATACTGCTGATCACAAAATTATTAATTATTATTCAATATTATGAAAATTTTAATTGTATCGGGGACCTATAATTTGTATTTTAGATTCTGAGTGGAACGATGAATATTTTGATTTTACTATGATGTGTATTTAATTTTTAATTTTTTTTTATTATTTCTTTGTTGTGTTTGATGTATACACTATAAGTAGGTAGTCAAATTCGACCTTCGTTTTCCATGCATAATATATTATAGGTACTCCGTATGTAATCAATGATCATATTGTTTATTTTTAATTCAATTTTTGTAGAAAAGTGTTTTGTGTAGGCATAATAAATGTTACATTAAAATTTAAAAAATTCAAAAATTAGAATATAGGCACTACAGTTTCCAGCTTCTACTACAACATTACGTTATACCTATTATGTTTTTAATTATTAAAATGCCTAAAAAGTAAACGTAAATCCCAAAATAATATGAAAACAAACTTACTCTGAAACATCGACTCTTCCGGTGAAACCTAGCTAGAGTGCATCAACAATGCAAACGTCTAGTACGTGAAGCCACCGAAAAAACAGCTATCTTCATCCGTCTTCATCTCGTTCTGAACTGTAACTTGAAACTTTCGAAATATTTCATGAAAATTACCTGAACATAACGAAATGTGCGAATTCGTGTTAAAACTTACATTATAATATATACTGCTTAACGAACTATCTGTATATTATATTGATGGCTTATTATTTTTTTTTTTACTAAAATTATTAGAATTGTTAATAGTCGCAGACGAATATCGACAATTGGCGATTGCCATAGATGATATAAAAATATATATTATTTAATATGATAAATCCATAGAACTTCCACACTCAACACACATACACGGTCTATTGATACACCGTGTGTTCTTTTACAGAAATCTTTGTGGTCTGCAATGTATTCTTGTTTTCTATTTCAGTTATTTATCGTATACTAAATTTAACCAAACTAATTAGTCCACAAGTTTATAGACATCACAAATATATACTATAAATAGAGTATATTATTATAATTTATATACACGAATACACTATGCCACTTTTAAATGTAATTTTTTGGGCAAAAATAACTATAACCTACTGCTGTACTAATGCTTAATAATCTGCAGTCTGCACTTTGTTCCGGTGATTTTACACGTAATATAATAAAATTGATACTAGTGATTTGTACCCGATTGTTTAATTCAATTATTTACAAGATTTCAATAAAAAAATATCTATGAAGTATAAACATCCGCATTTCTATTAACTATAAATTCTTAATTGTATGAGCCATACATATTACATATATTTTTCGAAAAAATTATTTAATGTCTCACGGGTTGATCTAGCAACTGACTGCTACGACAACTGTACAATTTTTTTAAGCATAATCCGTTTTGATAACATCCAGAAAAGAGTTTGTCTTAAGACTGTCTGTCTTGATAACAACTAATTTAATTTCAAGTGTATTGTTATATTATATGATAATGGAAAATAATAATTATAGTAAAATATATAATTGCAAAACATTTAATATCTAGCTAGGTATATAGGGTATAAACTACACTACAAAATTTGTGAGTATGCTAATAAAATACAAGAGGTTTATAATGTATTTATGTATATAAAATATAAAGATTGATAACATTATATTGTTTTAAATACTTCACGCAAAACCTAAGGTGATACCCGGCTTATAGTATACCTATGCAAAAAGGCACTTATTAAACTTGGAGTAGTGAAACGAAGACGGACTTTGGACTGTTCGGTCTCGCGTATTTTATACATGGCGCTTTTAGGATTAAACTTATAAATGCTTCTACGTCACCCAGTTAACAGATTGTCCGGGGCAATAAATATTTAATTTAAGTCTTAAACTAAATGTAAAATACTAAAATAGCAATAATATGAAAACAAACTTACGCGTGAACATCGACTCTTCCGGTGAAATCTAGCTAGAGTGCCGCCGTCGCCGAAAAAACGGCTATATTTATTCATCATCATCTTGCTCAGAACTGAAACTTGAAAGTATCGAAATATTTAATGAATTTAATCTGACCATAACGAAATGTGTGAATTTGTGCTAACAAACTGTCCGTATATATTGATCGCTTATTATTTTTTTGTTCACTGAAATTATTAGAATTGTTAATCGTCGCCGACGAATGTCGACAATAATTGACGATAGCCATAGATATTATAATAAAATATATAATTTACTAAGATAAATCCATAGAACTTATATACTACACTAAGTACCTAAACGGTCTTTGGTAAATCGTACGTACTTTTACAGACATTTTTGTGATCAGCAATGTACTTATTCTGGTTTAATTGATATGGTAATTCAATGATACATTATTCTATACGAAAAACGATTCTGAGCGGGAATGTTCTGTAAGCCTATATCAAGTATACATTTCATAAATCATAATATGTTTTTTGATATTACTATTAAAGTAACTTATTTTACTATTATAGTACGGTGGGTTGATTTCATTTTTGTCAAAATCATTGCATTTACATTATTTAGGTACGTGATTTTTAAAGTAAAACTACTGAAACTTCTTTAAAAAAGGTATGAAAAAAACGATTATCATTTATCGGCCGTCATGACACACATAATACCGTATTGCTCAATAGTCAATACCATGAGCTATTATCCACGCGCAATGTTGATGGTTCGATTCAGGTAGAGGGAATCATTATTTTTGCATTTTTTTTTAAAGAAGTTTCACTTCATCCACGCGTACTCACAGTGACACAGCATACATTTTTTTGGTTACAGCATGAACTACTTATGACTTATATTATGAGGACCTTGTATTAAATTCCCAAGCCTTATCTACACAAATTGATTATTTTAGAAGCTTTTAACTACAAAATAATTTGAAGATGTTCGTGATTTTGACAAATTTTTTCAAAATTTGAACTTCTAACCCATTTAATGCTTATAAAAAATCATTCAGTAGAATAAGGTGTGACCAGGTATAAATAGATTTAAATTAATAGAAATATTTTTTAAATAACGCACACAATATTGTGCATAGTAAATAATAAATATTAATACGTGTATATATATATATATATATATAGCTAAGATGCTACGTACTACGTATTATGTCGTAGTGCAAAAAGTTTCAAGTCCCAACGATTATAAATCATTTTTGAATTAATTACAACAAATAATAACTTTTTTTGTTGTCTAAATATTCAATGTTGTCCAAATTCGAATTTAAAATGTTCTTAAAAAATTTGTGCATAAATAAGTTTTGATATTTTTAGGTTTATGTAAAAAACCCTTGTGACATGCGATCCCTTATATTATATTTTTAAACCTAAGGTATTAAAATAAGAACTTTTATCAATTTAACATACCATTAAATCAAATTAATTCTAGAAATTGCAGCTAATATAAATATTTGGTGAAAATGATAAGACGTTAAGTATCTACAGCTATTTTTTTTTCAATTACAACAAAATAACGAAATCGATAGTGTCGAAAATTGGTGTGGCGTTGATAGGTATTACCATTTTCCTTAATTTTTTTTAGTTTTTCCAATCATTAAAAATGTACCTACTGGGAATTCCAAGAAAATATATGCTACCAAAAGGCAGAAATGAGCCTCAAGGTTGAAAATTGAACTATTTTTACCTCTAAAAGGTAATCACACGCAGACAAAGAAAAAAAACAATACTTAAAACCAATGTATTAACCGCCATCACTCGGAATCTAAAAATTATTAATACTTTTAGGAAATTGAGTTACATTTAGAACCAATTGAGTTTCAGAACCACAATCTGCAATTATTGGTATACATGTATAATATTGC